ATGACAAGTGGATAAATCCACAAAAATGGAAAGAAACCAGCGCAAAAAGAGGAAAACACCCAAAACCAGAAGAACTCACCTCCTAGAAATGATCAAAACTTCTCACCAGCAAGGAAACAAAGCTGGACGGAAAATGACTGTGATGAAATGACGAAATTCGACTTCAGAAAGTAGATAATAAAAAACTGTTGTGAGTTAAAAGAACATGTATTAATCAGTGCAAAAAACCTAAGAACCTTGAATAAAGACATAAAAAAAGATTTGAGGAAATGATAACAAAAATGGATAACTTAGAGAGGAATATGAATGAATTAAAGGAGCTGAAAAACACAATACGAGAACTTCGTGAAGCGTGCACAAGTTTCAATAGCCGAACTGACCAAGCAGAAGAAAGAATATCTGAAGTCGAAGATCAACTGAATGAAATAAAAACAAGAAACCAAGATCAGAGAAAAAAGCGCAAAAAGGAATGAACAAAGTCTCCAAAAAATGTGGGACTATGTGAAAAGACCTAACCGACATTTGATAGGTGTACCAGAAGGAGAAGAAGAGAATGAATCCAAGCTGGAAAATACTATTCAGGACATTATCCAGGAAAATTTTCCCCACCTTGCAAGACAGGCCAAAACTCAAATGCAGAAAATACAGAGAACACCACAAAAATATTCCGCAAGAAGAGCAACCCCAAGACACATAATCATCAGATTCAACAAGGTTGAAATGAAGGAGAAAATACTAAGGGCAGCCAGAGAGAAAGGTCGGGTCACTCACAAAGGGAAGCCCATCAGATGTACAGCAGATCTCTCAGCAGAAACACTACAAGCCAGAAGAGAGTGAGAGCCAATATTCAACATTATTAAAGAAAAGAACTTTCAACCCAGAATTTCATATCCAGCCAAACTGAGCTTCAGAAGTGAAGGAAAAATAAAATCCTTTGTGAACAAGCAAGTACTCAGAGATTTTGTCACCACCAGGCCTGCTTTACAAGAGCTTCTATAAGAGGCACTACACATAGAAAAAAACAAACAGTATAAGCCATTCCAAAATTACACTAAATGCTAAAGAGCATCAACATAATGAAGAATCTACAACAACTAATGGGCAAAACGGCCACTTAGCATCAAAATGGCGGTATCAAATTCATAGAAAACAATACTAACCGTAAGTGTAAATGGACTAAATGCACCAATCAAAAGACACAGATGGGAAAATTGGATAAAAAGCCAAAACCCATCAGTGTGTTGTATTCAAGAAACCCATCTCACATGCAAGGATACGCAAAGGCTCAAAATAAAGGGAGGGAGGAAGATTTACCAGGCAGAGAGCAAAAAGAAGCAAAAGTTGCAATTCTCATCTCTGATAAAATAAAATTTAAAGCAAAATAGATCAAAAGAGATAAAGAAGGCCATTACATAATGGTAAAAGAATCGATACAACAAGAAGAGCTAACAATCCTAAAATATATGGACCCAATGCAGGAGCACCCAGATACATAAAGCAAGTTCTTAATGACTTACAAAGAGACGTAGACTCCCACACAATAATAGTGGGAGACTTTAACACTCCACTGTCAATATTAGATAGATCAACCAGACAGAAAATCAACAAGGATATCCAGGGCTTGAACTCAGACCTGGAGCAAGCAAACCTGATAGACATTTACAGAACTCTCCACCCCAAATCCACAGAATACACATTCTTCTCAGCACCACATCACACCTACTCTAAAAACTGACCACATAATTGGAAGTAAAGCACTGCTCAGCAAATGCAAAACAACTGAAATTATAACAAACAGCCTCTCAGACCATAGTGCAATCAAGTTAAAACTCCAAATTCAGAAGCTAACCCAGAACTGCACAGCTTCATAGAAACTGAACAACTGGCTCTTGAATGTTGAGTGGGTAAACAATGAAATGAAGGCAGAAATAAAGAAGTTCTTCGAAACCAATGAGAACGAAGACACAACATGCCAGAATCTCGGGGACACATTTAAAGCAGTCTCTAGAAGAAAGTTTATAGCAATAAGTTCCCATATGAGGAGAACGGAGAGATCCAAAATTGACACCCTATCATCAAAATTGAAAAAGCTAGAGGAGCAAGATCAAAAACTCAAAACCCAGCAGAAGACAAGAAATAACTAAGACCAGAGCTGAACTGAAGGAGACTGAGACATGAAAAATTGTTCAAAAAATCAATAACTCCACGAGCTGGTTTTTGAAAAGATCAACAAAATAGAGAGACCACTAGCCAGATTGATGAAAAAGAAAAGAAAGAACGACCAAATAGACACAATAAAAATGATAGAAATCACTACAGATTCCACGGAAATTCGAACCATCATCAGAGAATGTTACAAACAACTCTATGCACATAAACTAGTAAACCTGGAAGAAATGAATAAATTCCTGGACTCCTGTGTCCTCCCAAGCCTAAACCAGGAGGAAGCTGAAAGTATGAAAAAACCAACCTCAAGGTCAGAAGTCGAGGCAGCAATTAAGAGACTACCACACAAAGAAAGCCCAGGTCCAGATGGGTTCACAGCCGAATTCTACCAAACACACAAGGAGGGGCTGGTACCATTTTTCTCAAACTATTCCAAAAATCAAAAAAGAGGGAATCCTTCCCAAATCATTTTTTGAGACCAACATCATCCTGATCCCAAAACCCAGCAGAGACTCAACAAGAAAAGAAAACTTCATGTCAATATTCATGATGAACATAGATGCAAAAATCTTCAATAAAATATTGGGAAGCCGATTGCAGCAGCAAATCAAAAAACTTACTCATCATGATCAAGTAGGATTCATTCCGGGGATGCAAGGCTGGTTCAACATACGCAAGTCTATATACGTAATTCACCAAATAAACAGAACAAAAAATAAAAACACATGATTATCTCAATTGATGCAGAGAAGGCATTTGACGAAATTCAACAGCCCTTTATGCTAAAAACTCTCCATAAGCTCGGTATCGATGGAACGTATCTCAAAGTAATAAAAGCTATCTATGACAAACCAACAGCCAATATCATACTGAACGAGCAATAACTGAAAGCATTCCCTTTGAAATCCGGCACTAGACAAGGATGCTCTCTTTCACCACTCCTATTCAATATAGCACTGGAAGTTCTAGCCAGAGCAATCAGGAAAGAAAAAGAAATAAAGGGTATTCAAATAGGAAAGGTGGAAGCCAAATTGTCTCTATTTGCAGACGACATGTTAGTATACATAAAAGACCCCATTGCCTCAGCCCAAAAACTCCTAAAACTGATAAGCAACTGCAGCAAAGTTTCAGGATATAAAATCAATGTGCAAAAATCACAAGCATTCCTCTACACCAATAACAGACTTAAAGAAAGCCAAATCAAGAATGAACTGCCATTAACAATTGCTACAAAAAGAATAAAATACCTTGGAATACAACTCACAAGGAACCTAAGGGACCTCTTCAAGGAGAACTACAAACCACTGCTCAACGAAATCAGAGAGGACACAAACAGATGAAGAAACATTTCATGTTCATGGTTAGGAAGAATTAATATCGTCAAAATGGCAATACTGCCCAAAGTAATTTACAGAATCAACGTTATGCCCATCAAGCTACCATTGACTTTCTTCACAGAACTGGAAAATACCACCATGAACTTCATATGGAACCAAAAGAGAGCCCGCATAGCCAACTCAATTCTAAGCAAAAAGAACAGCGGGGGGCATCACATTACCGGATTTCAAACTGTACTGCAAGGCTACAGTAATCAAAACAGCATGGTACTGGTAGCAAAACAGAGATATAGACCAATGGAACAAAACAGAGGCACTGGAGGAAACACAACTTATCTACAACTATACAATCTTTGATAAACCTGACAAAAATAAGCAATGGGGAAAGAATTCCCTGTTTAACAAATGGTGTTGGGTAAACTGGCGAGCCATGTGCAGAAAGCAGAAACTGGACCCCTTCCTGACACCTTACACTAAAATTAACTCCAGATGGATTAAAGACTTAAACATAAGACCTGGCACCATAAAAACCCTAGAAGGAAATCTAGGCAAAACTATCCAGGACATAGGAGTAGGCAAGGACTTCATGAACAAAACACCAAAAGCATTGGCAACAAAAGCCAAAATAGACAAATGGGACCTAATGAAACTCCACAGCTTCTGCACGGCAAAAGAAAGAGTCACTAGAGTGGATCGGCAACCAACAGAATGGGAAAAAATTTTCGCAGTCTACCCATCTGACAAAGGGCTGATATCCAGAATTTACAAAGAACTCAAGCAGATTTACAGGAAAAAAACAAACAAGCCCATTCAAAAGTGGGCAAAGGATATGAACAGATACTTTATGAAAGAAGACATATATGAGGCCAACAATCATATGAAAAAATGCTCATCATCACTGGTCATCAGAGAGATGCAAATCAAAACCACATTGAGATACCATCTCACGTTAGTTAGAATGGCGATCATTAAAAAATCTGGAGACAACAGATGCTGGAGAGGATGTGGAGAAAAAGGAACACTTTTACACTGTTGGTGGGAGTGTAAATTAGTCCAACCTTTGTGGAAGACGGTATGGCGATTCCTCAAGGCCTTAGAAATAGAAATTCCATTTGACCCAGCAATCCCATTACTGGGTATATATCCAAAGGACTATAAATCGTTCTACTATAAGGACACATGTACACGAATATTCATTGCAGCACTCTTTACAATAGCAAAGACCTGGAATCAACCCAAATGCCCACTAATAGACTGGATTGGAAAAATGTGGCACATATACACCATGGAATATTATGCAGCAATCAGAAATGATGAGTTTGTGTCGTTTGCAGGGACATGGATGAATCTGAAGAACATCATCCTCAGCAAACTGACACAAGAACAGAAAACGAAACACTGCATATTCTCACTCATATGCGGGTGATGAAAAATGAGAACACATGGACACAGGGAGGGGATTACTAAACACTGGGGTCTATTGGGGGGAAAAGGGGAGGGCCAGTGGGAGGGGGAGGTGAGGAGGGACAGCCTGGGGAGAAATGCCAAATGTGGGTGAAGGGGAGAATGGAAGCAAAACACACTGCCATGTTTGTACCTACGCAACTGTCTTGCATGTTCTGCTCATGTACCCCAAAACCTACAATGCAATAAAAAAATTTTAAAAAGATTAAGAATAGTAGCCTAATAATAATATTTTTTCTAATTTTTTCTTTTTTGTAAATAGCAAGTATATTTTTTCTCATAAAACTCTATAAAGATTCTATAACTTTTTTTCATGCAGAAATAATACATCATTTAAGCTACTAAATCACTTTTGATCATAAACCCATGTAAAAGCTTAAGTTATTCACTTAATATGAGCTCTTCTTTTTCTTATTAAGATGCCACAAGCCTGTCACATTTCTGTCATATTGCTAGCAGAAACAACTGGAAATACTAAATGAATATGGAATTCACATTATAGAATGACACCAGCATGGATGCCATAAATCAAGTCCTTTGCAGTTTTATAGAGAGCCTAATTTTTGGTTGTCCAGTTGGGGTCATACATTGTTTGCAGTAATGGCCTGAACATAGCTCTGTGAAAATAATGAATTGGGAATTAAATCTTACCATGACTCCTCCCTGTAGGAAAGAAATATTACTTCACGTGTGCTAGGCTGAGATCATTATATTTCACATATTTATACACAGAGAATCACTCAAGTTTAACCCAAGACAAGGAACAGGATTTGGGGGTAATTTTTATGCATTTCTAAAAGCATTGTTTTCTTTTCTAGAAGTCACTCTCAAACACTGGTATATTCCTAAAGTTTGAGTGTAATCAAAGTTGTTATTGAAAAAGCCCCAGAAAGCTGGATAATTTTATGGGGAATGTCCATTTTAGCAGAGACATTTATAAAACTGGATTTCTAGAATAAACCACAATGCAGCCCAGGGACATGATCATCAAATATCTTTGGCCACTGTTCCTTGGTAATGCAGTAATCTTGGAAAGACAAAATATAGAGAAACTGTTGCTACTTTGTTTCCTTCTGCCTTGTAACACTCAAACTTTCCTGAAAATGAGAAGAGAAATAGCAAAATGGCAAGCCATTGAAAAGGAAAATCTCTGATCATATGGTCACCAATTTAAAACGTGAATTTTTTTCACCTCTTTCTTTAAATTGGTGACTAGATCTCCTCAGCAAAATTATTCTAATTTCCAAGAAAACCTTTCCAAAGCAATTTTAATGTTCTGTCATTTTTTCTACATTCTTCAATAATATTGTTTGACTAGATACACAAATCCACAAATAGTGGTATGTCAGACAAGCATGTGTTTTATCCATTAATGATATGAAATATTTTTAAAACTTTGCTAACTGATAAATAAGGAATTAAGTGCTTAAACAAAAAAGGAAAGACATGTCTTCCTTCACTCTGATTAGCTAAGCTGAGCAGGTACTTCATTGGCCAAACCCTCCTGCAGCAGCTAGGGCGCACAGAGCGCTATTAACTCCAAGGGCCATAGCCCCACCAAAGGCAAGCTTTCTTCTTTTTTTTTTGGCACAATCCTGAAATGGGAAGCAACTCTTCTTAAACATATTCAAAGGGCCAGAGCTACAAAATGGGACTTGTATTTTTTTTACCCTCGTAATTGTGTGTGTGTGTGTATGTGTGTGTCTACTTGAACAATTTTTAAATACATTCAACTTTGGGGACATATTTGTATGCTGCAATTTTATAAAAGCTAACATGTACAAATCAAAGCTTTCAAAAACAATGGTCTCCTAAAATGTTCTTGCATGCATCTTTGCAATGTGACAGAGAGAGATAAGCCACAGAGAACTTCTGAGTATTCTGTATGACAAAACATCCTCTTACAAATGAAAATCTCATGTCAGAAAATAACGTTTTGTTTACAAGTAATTAATAAGAAAAGCTTTTTTTTGGCAGAAAAACAGAGATGATATGATTAATATGTATATGTGTGTATATATGTAGTTATAGAAATGCATCTATTTGTAGATATATGCAGAGCAGTAGGAAAAGCAGTATCTTCCAAAAACCTGTTTCAAACTGAAAACATCAAGAAAATATTTTTTTCTTTTTTGTGTTTTTGTTTAAACTCACAGGAATATATATATTTTTATTTCGTACAAAGTATCTTAAATATAGTTCTGGCTGGCAAAACAACTCTGCACAAAACCATACAGATTTCACTGCATAGTCAATTCTTTTATTTTGACAATAAATTTCTACGTTTCCTTCTCTCTGGATTACAGTGCCACGTGCTGGACAAAAGTCCACAGACTCTTTCTTCCTTATAAGGAGAGCCATCCATTGTGTGGCCCAGAAAGAAATGTTTAAATTTCCATTGTAATTAAAAAATATTAAGTGTCCCTTGCTGAGTTCCAGAAGTGTAAGCTGCTTCTGTGATGTTGGAAACACCCAGGTCCTTGAAATGGTGATGTCCTAGTCACACAAAACATCGAAACACTGGGTGGAGTGGCCAAGATCTTAAAGCAGTATTGTAACAGAAATGTACACTTTTCACATTTCATAGAGTCAGAAGTTGATCTCATAATACTGGAAAAAGCCAATGAGAATGGTGCACTGGGACAACGGGATGACTGCTTTTTTGTATTTTTGTCTTAAGTCACAGAGAAAAGAATATTCGTGATTTGGAGACTTTCTTTCTCTGCTTCTTTATCTGCTGTGTATTCCTGGGCTGGAGGGGTGGAGGGAAAGGAGGGGAATGCTGCAAAACTATACTCTAGTGGTGGAATGTCCATGGGGTAAGTTGGTACTGTTCTGCCCTCCGCTGAAGGTGTTGAAGGTGTGCAAAGGCTGCATCCTTGTCAGTGTGTTTGGAATCATGGTGATGGTGTTTGGCGTCATCAGCAGGATGTCATCTGACGACTGGTGCAGAGTGAGGGTGTAGTCTGGTGGGCAGGTGAGCCTCAGTGTGTCGTGTGCCTGGAGCGACGCACACTCGTGATCGTGCTCCAGCTGCCTCATCTGCAGAGACATCATCTCTTCATTCTGGATGTGAGCGATATTATTTGTGGTGTTTCTCTGGGGACTGGGGCGCCTGTGAGTCTCATGGCGCCTCTTGTCCTTTTTGTAGTACAGTGCTGCAAAGGCCAAAATGTTGAGGAAGAGGAGCGACGCCCCGACGGCAATGGTGATGCTTAATTCGGTGGAATAATCCCGTTTGGTTTCAATGAGGACAGTTGTGTCCTCGGGACCCGTTTTGTGAGGGTCCTTCGAGTGTTTGGGATTGTTGGCAGGAGTGATAGCTGGGCGTTTGGTGGTCGGCCATATCTTGGTGGGAGATCGCCAGGTACCATAGGGAAATGAGGTCATGTATGGAGGAGGGACCTTTGTGGTTGTTGAAACATACTGGAATATCTCGTTCAAGTTGTGCAAATGAGGAACGAGTTCCAACCAGAAAGCCACTTTTGTTGCCCGGTAATGATCTCTCACTCTTGGTTTCAACCCAATATGTAGATAGAGCTGGTCTTTGGGATTATACTTGGACCAGGCCACTTCCTCAAAGCGGTTGGGTTTCATGTGAATGAACTTGGTATCCTGTGGAACTGGTTGATTTGGATCACTGGGGATAGAGGGAATAAAACAAGAAAGGTTATACTCTTCCATATTTGACATTAAAGTATCTTAAACCAATAAATCAGGAAGTTACAATACTACAATATGCAGATTGGAGTATTCCCCTCCTGTCCATCTTCCCCTTCTGCTCTCAAATTTTGACATTCTGCTTACATCCTAAACATGTGTACCATATTGTCTTTTCTTTAAAAATTGCTTTCATTATTCTTTTAAAAATAATCCATACCATGATTATGGCACTTTTATCATAACATGTCTACCAGTTTTTAAGGTATCAAATGATCTTCAAAAAGCAAAACAAAGTATTTCTAGAAAAATTTCAGTATTTCAAGTTTCACTCCTTTTGAACTCTAAAACTCATCTAGGAGTCATTTGGCCCAAAAGGGATATTTGGCAATGTGTAGGAACATTTTGGTTTTCATCTACGGAGGAAAGCTCATGTGAAAGCTGAAGGTCAGGGAAGCTCCTAAACACCTTCTGTTGAAGAGGACAGACCCCTGCAGCAAAGAAGTTATCTGGACTAGAATGTTAACAGTATTGTGGCGTAGAAATCCTTATTAAGAATCAATTCTTCAAGAAATGGATATTCTCTTTTTCCTGTAGTAAGTGCTTTTGAAGTAAATGAAGAGATGTTGCAGTTTTAGCAAGAAAAATTGATATTAACAGTCAAAATAAAAATAGGCTGTATCATTACAAAATATTTGTAGACATATACATAATTTGTTAGCTGTCTATCTGAAAGGAAAATACCTATGCATGTGAAGACCTTTCAATAACTGTCTGGAAAAGAAAGCACACTACAAAAGCTGTATTAAATTTGTTAAAATGATACATAGAGTTATGAGGTTAACATGTTTTGGAGAAATGAGAAACCCATAAACAAGCTGAGAGCTGTTACAGATGCTAAGTTGTGCTTAAAAATTTTGTGCAAAGAATTATCTTATTATTTTCACCAGTGGGGACACAGAAAGAGAATTATAAAAATTCATAAAACACACAGCATTTAAATACTTTCTAACCCTTTTATTTATGTAATATTTCCCCTTCAAAAAAGAAATATATAAAATTCTAATTTCTTTCTTTTTTTCTTTACTATTGATCAAGTAAGCTATAAAACCAATAATGTCTTTTTTTATTGCAATTTAGGTTTTTGGGGACATGTGCAGAACATGCAAGATAGTTGCATAGATACACAAATGGCAGTGTGTTTTGCTGCCTTCCTCCCCTTCACCCACATCTGGCATTTCTCCCCAGGCTATCTCTTCCCAGCTCTGCCGCCACTTTCCCTCACCTATTCCCCCTAATAGACCCCACTGTGTAGTACTCCCCTCTCTGTGTTCCTGTGTTCCCATTGTTCATCACCCACCTATGAGTGAGAATATGTGGTATTTCATTTTCTGTTCTTGCATCAGTTTGCTGAGAATAATGTTCTTCAGATTCATCCACGTCCTTACAAAGGACACTACTCATTCATTTTGATTGCTGCATAATATTCCATGGTGTATATGTGCCACATTTTCCCAGTCCAGTCTATTATCGATGGGCATTTGGGTTGGTTCCAGGTCTTTGCTATTGTAAACACTGCAGAAATGAACATTCATGTGCGTGTGTCCTTATAGTAGAACGATTTATAGTTCTATGGATATATCCCAAGTAATGGGATTGCTGGGTCAAATGGAATTTCTATTTCTAGGTCCTTGAGGAATCACCACACTGTCTTCCACAATGGTTGTACTGATTTACATTCCCATCAGGAGTGTAAAAGTGTTCCTATTCCTCCACATTCTCTCCAGCATCTGTTGTCTCCAGATTTTTTAATGATCACCATTCTAACTTCTGTGAGATAATATCTCAATGTGGTTTTGATTTGCATCATCTTAGATTTATTTGTTTCAAAAAATTTGAGGTTATTCATGGTAAAATGTCATCTAGTGGTTAGCACTGAGCATTGACATGTCATGTGCAGACCCAGGCAAGCAGAAAGTTGAAATATTTTAATCAATGGCTCCAAGTGTGAGCTAAGATCTATCTTTCAGGTAATTCCTCCTTGGTGGAGTTTTTGTGAAGCTTCCTCTAGCCATTGCATGTTGACCTGCATAGCAGAAGGCTGCAGGAGCACAGAAAATCATGTATGTGTAGCCATTACCAGACACTGTTCAAATTTCAAACAATATACTTGACCCAGAGGTGCCACATGTGTTAAACTGAGACTTTCTTTCCTCAGTCTCAGTCTGTGGAGGTGATAAAGATATCATTTCCCTTTATTCAACTTTCTGCATCTCTGGCTCATTAAGATCTGTAGAATCTTGAACAAGTTTTCCAGCTAGTATTGGCTTTAACTTGCTCCTCTACATAGTGAATGAGAATATCAACCTTGGAGGTAAGAGAATGACAAAATGTCTGGCATGTGGTAAGAATTTAGGAAATATTATTTCCTTTATTCCAATATAAATATTAGAAGACCTACAGTATTGCAAGGGAGGGATAACTAGGGAGTAATATACTGTATTATCAGAGTATAACTGTAATTCCATATTATATACATTGTAGAGTATATGAGTATACTGTATATTACATACTATGTATAAGTATACCATATACCACAGTTTATACTGTATACTAAGTGTATACTAAGACAGTATATGTATGTGTTTATATTATGTGTATATACATGTGTATGTGTATATCTATCTATAGATATAGGTATAAGATGCATAATGCAATAGACAACATAAAGGACAGTAACCTCTAACTTTAAGTTGAATGCACACTAACTGCTGTACTTTCAGTTTACAAAGAGGGTGAGAAAAAATATATAAAATCTCATCAGTTCTAATACTGTGAGATTTTTTATTTATTCATAAACAATATATTTCAAAAGTATTCTGCTTTTTAATTATTATGCATATTTTATATGGTTTTGAAAAAATTGAATTAATTGTAGCAACTCATGTTTCTTTTGCTTCTTTAATTCCACAGAAATAATTTTGAAATTTTCACTTATTTAATGTGATGAAAGAAAAATGTATGAATAAATAGAAAAAATTTCCACTAAGTTACTAATTTTTAATATTCTAAATAAATGAACAGAAGTGATAATTACTGCTTTATTTTCCATGAATCCAATTTTACTGAATTTGGTCAATTAGATATGGCAATCTTATCTATTGGGCAGTGAGCATCTAGGAAAAGGAGTATTCTGTTCATGTTGGCTACCAGGATATTTTTGAAGGAATTCAGGGTATATTTGAAAGGTAAAGAAAATACATTTATTTTGTTCTTGAAGAGTAAAGCAGAGGATTTTTGAAATCCAGATCAGTGAGCTGCTGCCTGATAACAATCTGTTTATTAAGGATCTTGGAGGCACACAGTCAGAATTCTTACACCTAGATAAACTTGTGGAGATTATGACAGCCCAAGTCATTCTCCCTTACCAAACTCTCCAGACAGTGAGATCTAGGTGTAGGATATCAGTGTTTTGTTTTATAGACTTTATTCAGCATAAGAAGTATTTAAACTCCTGTGAGTAAAATTAAAGATTGTAACAACTGAGGATAGAAGCACAAGTTGTTCTCTCTTTCAAAAGACTCTATGCATGTCTTCCTCCTTACCTCCTGCACTTAACACATCCATTTCCCCACTGTTTGTTTAACCTTATTTGAGAGGTAATCTAGCTGTGTAGACTCCAGTGTCTTTCTAAGGTCTGGTTCATTTCTTTAGCAAGACATAGATGCAGTACTATGATATGTGTTAAAATATCTTTGAATCCTCTCAGCTCTTTTTTTAAGTAGTACAGGTTTTCCTTATACCCAAAGCATTGTTAGCAGTTAACAATCTATTATAAGACTAGTTTATTATTCACTCAGTGATTACTCCTACATACCAGTTTAAAATCTTTTTTTGGTGGGCATAAAAAGGTTGCCTTTACAACTATAATTATGCTGTAACTCTCTTTGACCAATCCCTGCTAAATATCTCATTGGGACATCTTTTTTGCCCACAGATTTAGCAATAGTTTAATATAAACTAATCATAAAATACAAGCATATTGCACTTAGTGATGGGATCTGATGCAAACAGAATAGAAATCACTCTGATGTAGAAACCTCAGACTCAGGGGAACACATTTAAAAAAATCAAATATATGTTGACCTGACTTACCATAATGAAACTCTCTCTTTGCATTTCTGACTTGCAATACTACATAAGTTCTTCTGTTACATATTATAATGCATTTCTAAAGCACTGTTCTTTGTTATGTGTTATAAAAAGACCAAGATTCAGCTGGGTGCAGTGGCTCATGCCTGTAATCCCAGCACTTTGAGACACCAAGGCGAACATATCACAATGTCAGGAGGTTGAGACCAGTCTGGTCAACATGGTGACACCCCATTTATACTAAAAGTACATAAATTAGCTGGGCATGTTACTAGATGCCTGTCATCCTAGCTATTTGGGAGGCTAAGGCAGGAGAATTGCTTGAACCCAGGAGTAAGGGGTTGCAGTGAACTGATATCATGCCAGTGCCCTCCAGCCTGGGCAACAAACTCAGTCTCTGAAAAAAAAAGGGTGGGAGAGAGACCAATATTCCCCCACTCGTTGTTTTCCATCTCTTTGCACAGAGCTCAAAATGAAATAATCATGAATCTATTGGCACATCAATTTTATTGATCAGCTTGAATAAATCTCTTTTCTACTATTTTTCAAAAAAAATTGAGAGAACAATCACTTTAATTGAACCCTTTTCAAACCTTAGAGATAGTCTTCACTTTTCCTTGATGTTGCTCCTCATTTCCAAAATGGTCTCAATAGACCCTATTTTTCCCATGCCTTTGAATATTTGGGCTTGCGTGGTTCTCTTTCAGCATGATTGGAGTTTCCTGATCTTGACTAACATTGAAACACCTCCTTGCTACAAAGGAGAATCTTCTTCATCAACATCCTGTCTTGATGAAGGTTATCATAGCATACAGTCTCTGCAGCAAC